ATTTTCTCACTATTTATGTCTAGTCAATTACATCTGGTACTTCACTAGATAGATTGACTCATCATGTTCCAAAAGCCATTCTAAATGACGACAACACATACATTAATAAAGGTAGATATTAAAGACATCTTGTGTGGTGACATGACAGACATAGTTTTATTGTTTCATGGATTACCTAGCAAGAATCAATCATCCCAGATATACTTGACAAATATCAAATTGTCAATTCATACGAGCAAAAATTTTCAAAGCAAAGAAGATTTTATTAGAAAATTAAAAATATATATTCATCGATAGCATAGGATGCAAAAAAGCACATCAAAACTACAAAGTTTGATGTTCACTTTAGCTGTCTTGTATAATTTTTATCAATTTTCAATATATTGTGATGTTGGTGCCTAAAAGAATGGGAATATATCATATTCTATAGTGTTTTGATCACCTTAATGGTTTACTATTGCATTCAAATCAACTCTCATCTGATTACCTACTTCAAACACTTTTGATTCATTTTTCCTTCTCAACATCATATTTGGACTGTATAGTTTTTGTTACAGTTCCTACCTTGTTTTTCCATTCCAGAATAAAGCATTATGGCACAATTTAGTTCCTCGTGTCTCCCAATCATAGCTGAGATGCAGTGTTTATTGTTGTCGTTGAATGTTGAAATTTTTTTCCTTGTGCAAAACATGCTTTACTTCTAGAATAGTCGTTTCTTGTCTCCTTGTAAATCCTTTAACATGTTTATGAATTTGCTACTTTCTAAGTCCTCAGTTGATGATTTCCATCCATGCCTATATTTGTACTATATAACAACAAATCTTTTTTTCTAGTATGAATTGAAAACTTACTAAATTTAAAAATTGAATCTTAACAAGTTAAATACACCAATAGGATTTGAATTGAAAACTTTGTAAGAATTTACAAAGCTTTATGAATTGAAAACTTACAAAACTTACTAATTTTGTAGTCAAGGATAATTAGAAAACTTAAAAACTTCCTTTAGCTAAAAGATAAGCACCTTAAAAGTGATTTTAAAAGCAGAAAAAAGTAATAAAGGCGGTCCAAAGCTATAAAATTGAAACAAATTTGTTTTTTTAACCCTAGAAGCAACACAATAGCAATTTGACATGAAAAAGTGGAGTCCTCCCACAAACAAGTTCATTTAATGAGACCTATATTAAATAATAACTTATACTTGAATTGTTAGAAAATCTAAAAGTCACTCCAAAGAAATACTTAAGGAAAGAAAAAACTGAGAAAGCCCTTAGATGAAAAGGCAATGGGTTTCTAAAAATAGTTAAAAGCACAAAAAAGGCAATGAAAGGCTGCACAAAACTGAAACAAAAGAGCATTTCTTAACCTAGGAGAAACACAACAGCAAATCGACATAAAAAAAAAAAAAAAATCATTGGTTCATTTTATAAGATAACCTATAATAAAACTTTTGGTAAGTATAAAAATCTCTCCTAAAAAGTACTTGAAGGATGAAGGAAAAAACAAAATTTTCCTTTACCTAAATGGCAAAATCAAAAACTTTTTAATGATGGGAAGAGGCAGAAAAGGAAGCCAAAAGCTACAAACTTTAGCACAAGAGAGTGCTTTTGAACCTCATGAGGAACACTAACAACCAAGCGTGGAGAAAGTGAAAGAAAAAAACACTCTCGCAATCATGTTCATTTTAGTACTTGGAATAACAGTAAAAAAACCTGAAAATATTTATTTTTTCCAAACCACATTTAAATATATTTATGTAATGCTTATCACATTATACTCTCTAAAAGTACTCAAAGCAAAAAATAGGTGAAAATTTAGCACTTCACTTTGCTTAGACAAGCGCCTAGTGCCACATACCAACTTGTAGTATTAAGTGTGTCCAGCTCTTTTAGTAATATTGACCTTATCCTTACTAAATGGGGTCAAATTTATGAACGCTCCTAAATTCACTTCTGTTGATTAATAAATGAATTCATAAGTTTATTTTATTTCCACAACCTCCACTTCCATTTGAAGCCGGATTATCAATTATTTTCTTATAATCCTATCATCTCAATTCTATCTTTTCCTCGAAAAACCTCAGCCTCTATTTTACATGCACAAGCCACTTGAATTTATTTTGCAATTACTGAATATATCAAATTTAAAGAAATTTTTTTTATCTTTCAATTGTCTAACTTTACAAATCTTTTCTCATGTATAAATCATCAAGAGCTAAAAGTAAGACCTAACACATTCCTTATAATGAAAATAATATTTAGTAGGCTTTATAGTACTCATTAATAGGATTTTTCTCAGATGTAATGGCATTCTTACTTCCTCAACCCAACCCCAAATCATTAAGGTGCTATTTATTTTAAATACTCCTACAAATTCTATGGAAAAGTATAAAGTATGCCTCTAAATTTTATTTCATGATGAACAATGAAGAAAATAAATGGAAACTTGGTTATGCGGTAGAGTTAGAAAGAGATCCCACAATCCCGTCTCCGAAGAATTCCATGACCTGCAGGTTCCGCAGGATCGTCAACAAGGCAATCGTGATTCAGCTATAGGGCATCCAATTGAATCAACAAAATTTCCCTATTTTCAGCATATTTCCTTCTTGATTTATTTCCTCTTCCTTTATAATTCTTCTTTATTTCTTAGTTTTCTTACTTCTAAGAAGGATTTTTATTTGAGGGATATTTATATGCTGTTATTTTCTGCTTTCGGAACACTTTTGTTTTGTTTGTGAGTTTTAGAGATTGTAATCTTTAATTTCTACACTAATTGAGTGTTGTAGTCTTTTCCATTCACAAGTGATGTGTAAGAAAAATAATACAGAAGATAAAAAAGAACGGATCATCATATGATTTCTATTGAACTTGAAAAGACAAAATCAAATACCACAAAAATTAATTTGATATGCTTCAAGATAGAAAGATGTGCATCCAAAACACATAGACATTATTAGTTATGATGTGAACCAAGAGTTTCTACTTATTATGGATTTACATCAATGGTGAACACTAAATCCATCTCCTTTTGTATTAGTTATGGAGATGCTTATTAATGATATTCAAAGCGAGATGTCACCGTGTATAGCGTAATTATAGTAAAACTTTGTAAGGCATCCACTAAAATCAATGAAAAACAATAGCAATGAAAGAATATGTTAAAAAATATATAACTTAGAATTAATAAAAAAATAAGAATATGGTATTAATTTTAATGAACATGGACATAACAATTATAATTTATTATTATCAAAAGATATGGTGATACATAAGTGTAATAAATTAAATTTTAATATAGAATACAAAAAAATGAAAGTTTATATGAGAATATAACTTCCAGAGTTAACACTAGCTAGTAAAATGAAAAATGACTCGAGAGTTGTGTGATAAGAGGTTATCTATGGATCTACATGTAAGGTTGCACAAAAATAACTCATACATAAGTTGAGTGTTGTGTGATGAGAATATTAAGATGTCTATGACAATCTAAAATGGAAAAATTAAGGAATGATTATCATAGAGACATTTGAATTACAAGCATTAAAGATATCGAGACTGAGAATATAATTAGGTTGTTTGAACCTATACAATGAAGAGAGAAAATGTGCCCGTTTAACAAGTTCATAAAATTAAAGTTAAATGATTATGAAGAAAAATGGGTTGACGCATTGAAAGAAGTTGATCCGAATCATTTGCAAAAAATAATTTTAATATCTCAAATAACAATCAACAAAAATAAATGGAAAATTAGGATTCATAATATCGACCTAAAATAGCTGTGAAAAATAAGGCTAACAGTGACAACTAAAAAAAAAACATTGTTTTAAGCATAAGCCTAGCCCGGGATTCACCATAATTTGGTCAATTTATCATCCTGGTCAATCTTTGAATACTTTTCACCATGATCAAGCTATTGCACAAGATTTTGTGAGACGCTTGTCACTCCTTACAACAGTAGAGTTATATTATGGGTTGCCACTTCCATGAGAGCTACAATACTATATTAAACAAAAAAAAAATTTGGATTCATCTCAAGAATTTTGACATTAGTTTTTCTAATGTTTTCAACTTAAGATAAACCTTCAACCATTCCATTAAAATTTTGGAAACAGAAACAAATATTTTCAAGACAGTGAAGTTGCACCAACATAAATTACAGTGCCAACTTCATAAAATATCGAGCGGGGACCATACAGATGGTGTTTTGTGCTACATTTGAACGAAAAAGATATAAAATTAAAAAAGAAAATGGTGGAGGCGCTACAAAAAAGTCGCTTGAAAGATGGCCTTTCATTATTGTTAGTTCTTCCTAAAAAAATTTAGGCAAAGCGCATCCAGTAACATCAATGACTGGGAGCAACATGCAAAAGTTTTACACTTTATAGCTTGAAAAAAAAAAAAAGGCATAACGAAAGTTTTACACTTTATAGCTTGAAAAAAAAAAAAAAGGCATAACGATCACCAGCGGGTATAGCCGTTCAGAACATTACATTACATCCGTAAAAAGGTCAGCAGGTGCCTGGCAAAATAATGCATAAACGAGTTTTACGAATCAGCTTAAATATATAGCCATCACGGTTTAATAGATCTTTTCAGGCATTTGATCACCTTTACTAAGAAGCCAAAACATCGCAGAAAAACCTTTAACAGGAAGTTTTCCTTTGTCGGAGCAACACACTATATTTCTAGCAGTTACCAAGAATGATCTGTGCCCTTTCCTCACCGCAGGGGAAATGATTGAGATGACGAAAACATAATTACATACAAAAATCAAACTATTCAAGTTATAATCAACCAATAGAACCACATAAATACAAAGTGTTATAAAATCTCATCCGAATAGGATTGATCCGTAGAAACCCAAGCTAAAGAAGGAAGGGAAAGGCCGCAATCGCAATCATACTGACAACTGATCATTACAGATGGGGAGCAAACCAACACAAGAAAAGGTAGAATCATCGCGCTATGAGGAGCGAATCACGAAGAGAAGGAAATGCGACTCACATGGTCGGAGAGTCAGAAGGGACGGCAGCGAGAGCAGCATCCTTCTCGGAAGATGCCATTGGTGATGACGACGAGGTGCTCAAGTGATTGCTCAAAACCCTAATTCTGCTTTCGCTCATAGAGTCCTCGACCATTTATTGATGATTTCGCTTCAGTTCAATGTTCTCGGCCACAGTTTTATTATTATTATTTGGGAGTTTAGATCACTAACCAGTTTTTACATTTAAATTTCTATTAATAAAAATCTTAACAGAAATTTATCGGATATATTTACGAAAATACCACATAATTATTATATGTTTTACATATTTTGCGTCATTACAAGTGCCAAATTAATAACGCATCATTACTATATATATATATATATATATATCTACACACAATATTT